AATGGCTTTGAGAATTGCTTCTCACCAGCATGTGTGCTAATACAGCTGATCCGCCTGTTAATCGACAGCCGATTTCGACCAGGGGAAACAGCACAAACCCAACAAGGTCTGTTGGTCTAACAAGAAGGCTCTTGGTTCAGCTATAAAATCATGCAACAAATTTTGAATTCAGAATAAAGAAGATCAATAAATGGAGACAAGATACGATATAACACGTCAAAGACAACAGGATGACAGCTACACCAAGTAGCTGTAACCATGCACGGTGACGTGGTTACACCTGCATTCCGAAGGAGGGGTCAAAATGTGCACAAGAACCAGCCACGCCGAGATAATCGGAGACTGCGAGTTCCAACGCTTATTCTCAACAAAATGGCCGTCAGGACGATGCGACGAGCCTTTGGCTCCATACCAAAACTGCAGACCCTTCATTTTGTCCAAAGCCTGCTACGGATGCTAATCCATCTGCTGTGGGTCGCCGTCGCTTTCGTACTACTACCCCTCGATAATGCCATTCTTTTGGCAGTTTATATCGTCGGGTTTGTTTCTCAGCTTCTGTCGGGCTCGTGTCCGAGCCATCAGAGAAAGACAGCGTTGAGAAATGTACACTTCTATCCCAAAACCGTCCTGGTGACGGGCATAGATACCCCGCCCGGACTGGCGGTGGCACGATCCTGGTACTACGAAGGCCACCGGGTCGTGGGTGCGAGAATCACGGATTCCTCCGTCCGATCTGGCGAGAGCATGTCCCGGACGCTCGCAGCTTTCTACAATATCTCACAGTCGCAATATATTTCACAGCTGCTGGACATCATACACAGAGAGAAAGTGGACGTTTGGATGCCGTGTTCGGACAAGACTACCGTCATGGAAGATGCGATGGCCAAGGAAGTGATTGAGAGTCGGACCAACTGCAAATGCATACATCTGGACACAGAACTTGCAGACAGGTTCAATCGTCCAGAGTCTTTCATTCGGTATCTCGTCGAGAAGGATCTACCCGTGCTGGAAACCCATCACGTGCAATCGCGCGCCTCTATCCACAGCATACTCCATCGATCTCCAACCAAGGTCTATCAGATGCGCAGAGTGAGCTCCATCGCAGCTGACAACAAGGTCATTGTGCTGCCCAAGCGCACGCTCAGCCAGACTTACACCGAAGTCAGCGAGATTCAAATCTCCAAGGATAGCCCCTGGATGCTTCTGCAACAGACCCGCTTGGGGACATACTTTGCCGAAGTGCTTGTGGTTCGCGGTTCCGTCAAAGCGATCAGGATCCGTCCCTCGGTTCAGCAGTTGGGCTGGGGCCGGTCTCGTCTGGACGAAGCGCTCGCCATCGCTATCTGCAAACTCATGGAGAGATTTGCGAAGAAATGCGGACCGCGCTTGACGGGGCTACTCTGCGTCAAGTTGATGGTCGATGAGGTGTTTGATACAAACTCCGTGCGTCATGTCATCCACATTGCAGGCTGCACGCAAGGCGCAGCGGCCGTCAGGCATCTCTTGCAAAACGCATCCCGCTCGGTTCCTGCTGGCTGTTTAACAGTGTTGGCTGCACATACTAACGGCATGCCTACGTGCTCGACGGAGTCGAGCAATACAGGAATTCGTAGTCTGATGTGCAAGGCACCGTCCCAGGGATCGAGATTTTACGAGGCGCTCAAGACTCACGATTGTGGGCGGCTTGTGCTAGTCGTTTCGCGAGCAATCCAATTACTGGAACGCTTGACTTACGAGGCAGGTCAGCTCGTTTTTTGGAAGAACTGGCGATATTCTTCTTTCGACCCTTTACCGTGGTGGTGGGATGCTCATATCTATCAACCAGCTAGACATTTTGGAATGGCTTTCAGTGATTTCACTGAAGCTCATGGTAAAAAGGCTTGAATTGAGCTTCTTGCACCTATCTCTTTCATATGTTCTTGATTAGCATTTCTGCGGGTTCGTACCCTACAGGACCATGGGGCGGCGTTTTGGAGAAGTTGATGAACGTTGCAGATCAAAGGAGTTTCGAATATAAGATGCAATTGTCATTTCGTGTAAATGCGATTCTATCACTAGAGGTATCAAAGCAGTGATAACCCAGGGTGTTCACACTGGAGTGGTTATCTCTTGGGTTAGATCGTTATGGGTACATCTTATGCATCCTACCAAAATGCTCACATCTTACATGTGGAAGCCAAGCGTGGCTGAAATGACACCCGTGTTTCCATGAATAGAACGGTTTCCTAGGAGAATTTAGGTACAAGGTTCTGGCCCAAGGACACGCCTCCCGTTCGCTCCGTCGCCTCTGAAAGATCCACTTAAAAGCGAAAAGCATCGTCATCCAGTCGAGTAATTCAGTCGACTTAGGTATCAAGCTGGCTTGGATTCAACCGTGGACTGGCAGTACGTCAGGTCAAGAGAAAACACCATTGTTTAGACAAATCAGGAATTAAAGGCTCCACAAATACTCCGTAGAGCGGCGCAGTTGTGTTGCCAGATGTGATATAATCTAATGTGGCTCAGAGGCTACTCAGCAAATACAGGTCAATTCAGCATTATTATTACTCTTGTCGAGATCTCGAATAGAGTACGGAGTAGATGACCCAGTCAAAGCTGATTCTCTCAGTATAAACATGCATAAAATATACACTGAGGGTCTGGTATTTGTGGAATACAGGAATACAGGATCAACGCATGTCGGGTAATTAACATATAGTTTGGACAGAGGCACGAGGCAGAAGAATTCCTAGGAACATTAATGCGTGCTATCCACCAGAACCAGATTCCAGCTCATCTTCATCTCTTACTCATTCTGTATTATCCCCTCTCAAATCCTTTATCAGCTAAACCATCACTATATCGCAATTTGCGACTTGGTGCACACCCTCCTCTTGATATCGTCAGTTGGGTCTCGACCTAGTGTCCGCAGTCCCCACGGCATCGGTCGGGTTGCCCCGTTGCGCTGCGCAATCCGAGCATAAACAAGCGCACTTGATCATTTTCTCTGCATTCCACAACGATCTTCTCCCTTTCTTTTTGCCTTGATACTTTATCGGGAGTTAGAAAGAGATCATCAAGGACATCAGATATCCATTTCTGGGATTCAGGTGTCTTCTCTCGAATTACTTCCTCTTAGGAAGTTCCATCAGCATCAGCTCCCCAGTCCACTCCTCCACCCACAAACATGCGAGTATCACGACCTTCCTTCAATCCCGGGCGAACGAAAAACCTCATTCATGGGGTACAAGGGTTCATCATCTTTCTCGCATGGGCTTTGACTATTGCCGTCTTCACAAAAGGTGATGGAATCGATGGGCGGTCAGCTTGGTACTGGGCCTTGGTGAGTCTCAGTCCTTGATTGTACTTCCAGCGAAGAAGGAACATGGGCTTGAAGCTAATATGTCGGCGCCAATGAAGTGTTGGCTCAGTATCCCCGGCCTGATTTACCTTGTCGCAGTGCCCATGTGGCCACGCGCACGACGATTCGGAAACGTCTATGCTTTTGCTACAGTCGACTGTTTGTACGCGATTCTGTGGTTCTCTGCATGGATTTGTGTCGCAAGCTATGTCGCGCAGGGAAAGTCCGAGGGCAAGAGCACCAGTGACAGCGATAAGAATAAAGATGACAAGAAGAGTGGCTGTGACGCCTGGAAGTACGGAAGCGCCAGCAAATGCAATATTAGTACGGCAACTGTGATTCTGGGGGTTGTGATCTTGTAGGTTTCCTTCTGAGCCTCATATTTCGGGCGGTATCCTTGCTAATGCGACTTGTCCACAGCCTTCTCTTTGTTGCGACCGCTTGGATGTCTTTCCGCAATGTCATGCATTTTCGCCGAACCGGTACCCTTCCCGATGCTGTTTCCGATCCTACATTCGCTGCACAGAGCAAGGCCGCTTTCTCCTCGAACCCTGCGCATGACTTTGAGGAAGAGGAGGATGATTTCCGCTCCGGACGTGCTGGAATGGGTGCTTCTGTTCGTAATGATCAGGACGAGGATTATGCCTTGCTTCACCAAAGCGAGATAGACGACCTCGGAAATGGCAACGGACGAACTGCAATGCATGGTGCCTACGATCCCACTGCTACCGGATCAGGGAGCGTGCTGCATGACTACAACACCGGCTACGGCGGGGCGCACGGGCAACACTATGCACAACCATCTGAATACGGCTCTACCCTGAGTGGCTATGGACGTTAACGACGGTCCTTTGGTGTCGACTCATGCGCATTGTCTTTGAATTCTGGTATTGATCTTGAAGCGGTGTTGCAGGCGCATATACTTGTACGACCTTACGTGTGTTGCCCTTTTGTCTATCGAGATCTATTCGATAGTATTTACTTATCTTGACTTTAGGCGATGATATCTGTTGCAGTCAGTCGGCGTGGGAAACAATGCCTCTTCAAAATTGTTTGCATTTTTCTGTTCCTTTGACGATGTTTACGATCACTCTAGTTTTGCAGCTATTTTGGAGGAGCGGTAGAGGAGTCGCCTGTATTCAGCTTATGAAGTGGACTTGGATATTCATAGATACTCCAAATTACCTTTTGGTTCGGGTCAACCTGACAGTGAGGCATGCTATTGATATAACTTGGGAATCTTCTACATAATAATCTTGACAACCTGAACATGGCGCCTGGAATTGGCATTACCTAGAAAGGTCTCGTAAGCCAACTAATGGGATAGTTAGTGATATCCCTCTGATAAAGACATATATGCGGGTTCTGCCACCGCCTTCCGTTCGTATCGAATAGCTTCAGGACAGCTTGCGATCTTGACAATGTAAATAGTCAGCGACCATTCAAAGATACCCCTTTCACACCATATCTGTCTGCGAGAAGATTAGGCTTGGAAAGAGATAGTTATTGCTGCTTCTTTTTAATTCCCACGCTTTGGTAAGTGTCCAATACCGGACATAACTCCATACCATGTATCCAAACTGACAAGTCGCAACAGCTGAACTGGATCACTGGCAAATCTCCAAACCTGCATATTAGACCAGCCGGCCTTTCCATCAAAATGGCCAGCAGCATCGACATCTTCCACCAATACCCCCTGCACCTCGACCCGACCTCCAAAGCCATCTCGCTGCCGCCCTCATCCAGCCAATCCGCCTCTCAAACCACAGCCATTAACGAAGAGCTGCAAGCCCTCAACAACCTGCACCGCTCACTAATCGCCCTCGACGCCCCTAACGTCCCCCCTCCGCCACTCCCCATCAACCCCAAGCGCAGCGCCCAGATCACCAAGCTCCGTGACACCGCCAACCAGGCCTACCGCAAATCCAACTACGCCGAGGCCGTCAAGCTCTACACCTACGCCATCGATATGGCTCTGAGTCGTCCCGGCTGGGAACCCGTCAATCTGGTCCGCGACGAGTTAGCCGGCCTCTACGCCAACCGCTCGCAGGCGTACATGGCGCAGCAGGCCTGGCCCGAGGGAATGTTGGATGCCAAGGCTAGCTGTGATTCCAAGCCTGTTGCGAATGTGAAGGCTTGGTGGCGCGCGGGCAAGTGTCTGGCTGAGATGGGTCGCTGGGAGGAGGCTAAGACTATTCTCGAGCGCGGACTGGACGTTGAGGGGAAGACTGGTGAGGGTGGGAAGGAACTAGGGGCGTTGTTGGAGGAGGTTCAGGCGAGACTACAGAAGTCGGCATAGTTTGATGCAGGTCCTGCATTGTCTCGAGCCACTGGTTGCAGACTGTGACGGTCTTCTTCATGGCGAATTAACGATATCTGCAGCTCTGTGTTTTGGGCTGGCCCTTATCATCTTGTCCTTTCGTTGCGATTCATGGTTGATCTTTGGCGTTAATGGAATGATGGGTTTCTGTTTACTCTGGTTGTTCTTGACCTATTCACGATAGAGCATCACATCACTCAAAAATATCATTCAACAGAAACAAAAAGATCCCCAGGAAGAGATTAATTAGTTTCGTCGATCAAGATAGACAGTATGCAAAATTGAAAAAGGATTGGTCGAAAGAAAGGCAAAAAATGATATGTCTTCCGATGCGGGGAATCGAACCCCGAGCTGCTGTGTGAGAGACAGCGATGTTAGCCATTACACCACATCGGATGATTGTTGAAAGGTCGAGTTTATTATAGAATGATCAGAGTGCAAAAAGATGTGGAACATCAAACTGTCCAGTAGGGTTATCGGGAACAACTTCAATTGCGCCCCACTTCGAGCCACGGACCGGTGGGCCCACTACCAGGTCGAGAGTGTTACACACTTGGCTTTGGATTATCAATACAAAGTTTGTTTATTTCTCTAACAAAATCCGATGTGGTGTAATGGCTAACATCGCTGTCTCTCACACAGCAGCTCGGGGTTCGATTCCCCGCATCGGAATTGATTCGTCTTTTTGACTAATTTTTTGCCCCTGGCTGTTCAACTATTTTCTTCTGCTGATACTGTATGTGTGTCATGTTCTGGCTTAATGAATGCAGCTTCTTTACAACTACTTTGAGTACATTAGTCTATCAGTGTATATCTTGGGCGGTGTTCTAATATTGTTAACTAATTTAGTTACATATAACTACAGTCTTACCCCTGCAGTTAGGGCTTCGAACTATCCACCATGGTATGGATTGCTTTCTCTCCCCGTTCTTGCTGTACTCCATAATATATATTCTCATCCGCCATGAACTTATTCCAGGAATTCAGGTGAAATAGGTTATTTAAGACCACCATGTTGGTATCTGCCAGCTGATTGTTCATTAACAAACAGCGGCTGAAGCTGTGGCTTCGACTTATCTTCCATGCCCTGCCTTTTTCATTTATCTGCTCTTATTATCTAGGTTATTGTTTCAACAGCGTGCATCATGGATGCCTCATCAACTCCCGCTTCAATTCTCCCCGTACACTCGTAGCGAAGAGAAACTATGTGAAAATGAATGGATATCTGATTAACAGCCTGTATGAGAATAATATCCTTGGGAATGCTTCTCTCTCGCCCTACATCTTTCACTCCGAATTCATTCAAAACCTCCGACTCTGATGTAACTCAGAATTCACGCATCCATCCATGTCCAGGGTATTATCCTAGGGTTAGTGCTTCGAGTGTAGCAATGAATTTCCGATCCGTCCAGACATAGAATGTACAATTAGTTCATGAAACCCTCAACAACCATTTCTAATACTGCATACCGTATGGAGAGGATGTGGGCCGTTGTAGCGGAACGGATCCCCCGAAGCCTTAGACTCTATGGAGGAGACCAGGGTGGGCTCGGCCGAGGGGACGCTATTATAGCGTACACTGAAGTATACGAATAAGGATACAGATAGGAAGAGGTATGAAGTATATATAGAGCTGATGAAAACAGCATAACAATATCAGACTTCGAAATCGCTAATTGACATACGAGACCAACATGTCCGACAGTCACAGAAGCGAAGGCCCTCAATCTCCACCGGAAGGGGAGAACCTGGAGTCCCCGAGCCGCACGGAAAAAGCCGATAATGAGCAAGAGAAAGAGAATCGAAATGGCTCTCGCCATGTTCTTCAAGGAATCCTATCCTTTTTGTGTTTCGTCCCAGCGATCGAAGACGCGCGATAATACCATGCGGGACGCAATGGTTCCTGACAGCCATAGTGGCAGGGGGCGGATTGGTCGTGCCTCTGAGCAGTGGTGTCTTATTCTGTAGGTCTTCCTTAACTATATCTGCTGAGGGAATTGATAGTGATATCATCAATAGCCTGCCTCATCAATAGCCTGCCTCATCATGATCGCCGAGGATCTTCATACGATCGTCTCTGTTGTTAGGTATCTGGTTGATTCTGCTAGTGGCATGGTGATATATAGGTAGGCTGTGTTTCTCATAATGCTGTTCTTCATGCCAGAGATAGAAATGATTATTAAAGAGAACCAGCAGAACGAACAGGCTACATTAACAAGACCTACAAGCAGAGTAGTTAATCTCTTGCTGAAACCTGTGTATGCAGCAGTATGGGCATTCAGGGATATATGGAAACGGTAAAGCCAACATCTCCTTGAAAACAGAAAGGGAAAAGCAATATAAACACCGCTTCTCCCTCTTTTTTAGGTCAATCTCGAACTGTGGCCTTGATATGCGCGTTCTTCCACATGCCCTGCTTGCCGCTGGACATGCAGCTATGTCTTGAGGCTGCCCTAGACATACCGAGACCTTGCTGAACTGCAGCCAGCTTGTAGCTATATTTAGTTAAATAGCCTACCGACTCGGGTTTGACATGGGCGATTATATAGTCCACAGATACCTGTTCGTCCTTTCCAGTAAAAACCCACGCAACAGAATCAGGAGCAGGAGAGCACCTCATTTGGATCTCTAAGTGTAAAGCAGATGCGTTGATCTGATGGTCCATAAGATCAGAAAAGTTTAGTCTCATGTAGCAGGTAAGGATGAATCCACCACAGCTAGTGGGGTTGCTTCAACAGCCGCCATGGCGGGGAGTTGGGGAGATGTGACAAGGATAAGGGCTAACGCCGCCAGTAATAAAGCCGTGATAAGCTCGACCATGCCTTTAAATTTAATCGAAAGCAGCTCATCCAAGCTTTGCATATGTTTTAATTCCGCGGCAGTATTAATTGCGTTGTCCTTGTCAACCCCACTGCACCGTCCTTTATTACCCACATGAGAAGAGAGATGTGTTAGTGGGTGGTTGCTGTCAATTATCCTCCCAAATCTCACGCATCTATCTACTAGGCTACTGCTTTGTTCAAGACGGTCGAGTGAGAAGGTTTCAACCAGCACTCAACAACTCCTCATCCTGACTACTTCTCGGAAAGTCTCAGTCTCCCCCGGGCTAAGCTTTTGTAACCGGCTGATCGGGAACCAGAAATCCCTCGAGGCCGTAACAATGCGTAAGCCCGAGATTTTCCAGCTTTCGGTAGCGGCCTCATTTGAAGGCCTCGCCAGCAAAGAGAAGCTCTATGCCCACCACACGGCCAGGTAAGAGACCCTAACAGCTTGGTAATTATCTGCTGCCCTGACTGTTAGCAAGGGCCGCATGGCATGGAACAAGAATTATTCTTCGACAAGTGTCCCCAGAAGCAAACGATATTTTCGACTTCATCATGGCCCTTCACCACAGCTGTGATGGTCAATGGGAACAGCTAGCGGGGAGAGCGCAAGTGGATATGACTGAAGTGGAAAAGTTCCTTAATTATGCAGCGGCTTTTCTCTCCAATATTGGAAATTACTTCGTGAGTACATACGCCCTTGTGTCTTGTGCATTCGATAATTGAATGTTGTAGGGCTCTGGGGATCAAAAGTTCCACCCTGATACCTCACCAGATGAGCTGGAGAAGCTTGCGAAATGTGATCCTACCACAGCGCAAATGTTTGCAAAAGTTCGAGATGCATTGTTTCGACCATTGCCCAATAGTCTGGGTGTCCCGAGCGACACCTGCCAGAGCACGTACTACCTTGGAGATAGGACCCTTGAAAATATGGACGAGGTCTCCACCGTGTCCAAGCTAATGGAATCATCGAGAATCTTTCCCGAGAATACTAGATTGAGGAAGAGCGTCCCCACGGAGGGTGAAAGTACCCTCCGGACATATGATATCCTGCAAGGATCAGTCGAAGAAGATGAAGCCGCGCTTCAGGTCCCCGATGATCACTCTGCCAGTGGCACAAGAATTCGCTTGGTTCGGGGTGATCACAAAGAAGAACTCAAGAAGATCAACCAGAGCCTGAGAGAAGCTATGAAGTACGCAGCCAATTGCGAACAGCAGGAACTGCTGGCAGGCATCGCAGAAAGCTTTTCTTCTGGTAACCTTAATTCCTACAGGGAAGCACAAAGGGTCTGGGTCAAGGACAAGGCCCCAAAAGTAGAGACTGTTTTTGGATTCGTTGAGCCTTACAGAGATCCCCTTGGCGTTCGTGCTGAGTTCGAGGGTATCGTCGGAATATCAGATTCTGAGAGAACCAAAGTTCTCCGCAGGCTCGCTGAGATTGCCTCTGATATTATTCCTCAGCTGCCTTGGGCTGAAGGTCACGAGGAGAATAATGGAAAAGGCCCATTTGAGAAGGAGCTTTTTGATATTCCCGATTTTGCCAGCGTCCAAAGTGAGTTGCATCAACGAGAGCTTTTCCCGAATTATAGAGAGCTAAGGAGAAAGTAGTTCTGGCTTATTGCTCGAGCCTGGTGTTTCCGGGGATCAATCTTCCAAATGTAAGTGATTAGCCGGCATAAAAGGTGCTGTCGTTGACTAACTTCCAATTGATAGTACAACGACATCAGACAAGAAGATGGTTTCAAAAACATTATCTTTGCTAACCGCATGATAGCAGAGAGTAAACGAGCCAGGGGCATCCACATGATCCATGAATCAGAGTGCAAAGGTTTCCAGAAGCACCGCTTTCCAGCATACTACATTTGGGTAGTTCTTCATGAGATACTGGGCCATGGCACAGGCAAGCTCCTTGTAGAGGACCCTCAGGGCCATTTCAACTTTGACAGAGAGCACCCGCCATTGAACCCACTCTCTGGAAAGCCAATTCATAGTTGGTATGGTCCAGGGGAAACCTGGACAGGAGCTTTCACAGATTTATCAACAACTGTGGATGAGTGTCGTGCTGAACTTGTTGGCGCTTATCTGATTGACGTTCCTGAGATTTTGGAGCTTTTCGGATGCACTGTAGACAGCGTGATTAAACCTGCTGATGGTAAG